TGGGGAGTGGCGGGGAGGCCGAGGCCCGCGGGTGGGAAGCGAGGCGTGACCCTGGACCGCCGCATCCTCACGAAGCCATGCGGGGAGGGTGGGTGGAGGTGGAGCCAACTGTGAAGGTTTGTCTGAAGGAAAGGCATTAGTCACACGCATGCCTTGAGTGGAGAGTGTGTCTTATTCGGCGTATTTCTGGTGCCTGGCAGCGTCCCATGCATAGAAGGCGACTGGAGCCACGCCAGAACGAGAAGCCTTTTATAAAGCAGGCTGAACAGATTGTAAACGTGTCAGACCTTTCCTGCGCCAGTTTTAGGATCCTGGAACCATGTTTTACACTCACCGCCGGAGTTCGTCCAGCTGTAAATTGAGATGGAGATGAGCTGCCCGGGCCCACCTGCGAAGCCACCCAGCTGCCTGTGCAAATGCTACCATTTTCACCTACCACCTGAAGCTTCTCGAGTGCAAAGCAGGTTCCCCGTCAACCTGCCTCCGTAGAAAGATTGGAAAGACAGATGGGATTAGGTGAAATGATGTCCTCCACAAATAGTGAATGGAAAAAGTCTTTAACCTACAATCTGAGATTTAAGGGTAGGAAGGACTTCATAGTTGAGTGTTGACAGATACCATCTATTCTATAAATTATGGAATCACTTGCTCCCCAGCACAAACATACACTTTTTTCTGAGTCCAGATTTTTTCTTTGTTGTATTGTTGTTGTTTTATTTATTGGCCTTACAGTGAGAGGGAGGGAGAGACAGGAACATTGTTTTGTTGTTCCACTTATTTATGCATTCGTTGGTTGATTGTTATACCTGCCCTGACCAGGGATGGAACCTGAAACCTTGGCGTAAGGGGATGATGCTCTAAAACTGACCTACCTGCCAGGACACCTTTTTTTCTTATAGCTCGATTTCAGCAATGCTTTGACATGGTGTAAAAACTGTGCTCTGAAACTGAGGGAACAGTGCAAGGACTTCCCACTAGTATAACTATCCCTACTGCAGGAACCTGCAAGGGCTATTTGTCAAGATTTAGTAACAGATACCGTCTGTTTATCAGAAGCTATCTCATCTTTTTATGATTTTCTTGGATTTTCTAGGCCAAATAATTTACAAGTGAGTGTATCATACTGGCTCTTCAGTATCATTATGACAATAGTTTAGAAATAAGAGGAGGAACAGGAGGCAGCTATCTTAGCAGTAATGAAGGTACCATAGGAAAATTAGTATGAGGCTATAAATAATTCTAGCAAAATAAGGTATATGTTGCTTATGCCAAAGGGAGAGGGGAGGTGTTAAGAAAATTTTCAGTCCTGGCTAGTGTGGCTCCATTGGTTGGAGGGTCGTCCCATGCACCAAAAGTTTGCTGGTTTGATTCCTGGTCAGGGCACATACCTAGGTTTCGGTTTCCTTCCCTGGTGTAGGCACATAGGGGAGGCAACGATTGCTGTTTCTCTCTCTCTCTCCCTCCCTTTCCCTCTCTCTCAAACCAGTAAAAGACATATCCTCGAGGGAGGATTAAAAAAAAAAAAAAATTTTTTTTCAATTGTGTTCATGAGAGAAAAGTGCATTTTGTTACTGTCAATATAAGAAATGTCCAAACCTGTAGAGAATTTTTACAAGAGTTTATCTGAGCCAAATTGACAACATATACTGTGGAGCAAGATCTCAAGTGCTCTGGAGGATACATTTCTTTTATGCATTTGAGGTTAAAGAGGGAACTATAAGGAAGATTACAGAGGTGGGAGAAAGCAAGGCATTGGATTACAGGTTAAGATTATGTGCTTTCTTAAGGGTGGTCACAGAGAAATCTGATTATGGGATAGTTCAGATTATGTGCTCTCAAGGGAGGTCATGCTTTAGAGGAAAAGATATGCAAAGAGGCATTTCAAAGGTGTGTTAACTTAGATGCACAGGGCTTGCTTAAGACAAAGATAAGCCTTTTACTAAAGAAGTTATATGCCTGGGCGTGACTATCCACCATTACCTGTCCAGTTAGGTATTTATGATTAGATCACCTGGTGAGGTTACTTTCCATAGAACCCCATTCACCCACATTCCTAATGTTATATGACTTATGTAGAAACATACAAAATGATCTTTAGGTTAACAACTCATGCACTGACAGCACTGTCACTTTCCCTTAGATGATGCCCCATAAGCCAAAGCAGAAATTGTCTCTGAGGGAACTTAGAGCCCAGCACCAAGTCTAAGGGAGACAAAAAAACCCACAACTGTCATTGTTCCTAACCACATATCCAAGCCCTCCAGCATGTAAAAATTGTGGATGTAAAAAGGGGCTCTATGGAAAGTAACCTCACTGGGTGATCTGATCATAAATTCCTAACTGGCCAGGTCATGGTGGGTAGTCATGCCCAGGCATATAACTTTTTCAAAAAGGTTTACCTTTGCCTTAAGCAAGCCCTGTCCATTGTATCTGTGCATCTAAGTTAATACACCTTTGAAATAAACCATAACCATCCAAAAGAGAGCACATAATCTCATTAATTTCCTGTAATCCAATCCCTGCCTTGTTTTTCCCACCTCTATGTTCCCTCCTTAATTTCAAATATGTAAAGGAAGTTGCACAACTGTCATTCTTGGGTCTGTTTTTGATTTTGCTCCCCAGCATATGTAGCTAGTTTGGCTCAAATAAACTCTTATAAAAATTCTTTACAGGTTTGGACCTTTCTTACATGGCATAATAAACCAGTGGCATCTTCATTGGTGAGAACATGAAACACAGATAGTAGGTAGAATCTTGGACCTCAGAAAAAATCCTCACTCTCCTGGAGCCTAGCTGCTCCTTCCTTCCCCTACCCTCCACACCCTAGTGGAACCTGTAATCAAAAGTTTCTGACCCTGCCCTGGCCAGTGTGGCTCAGTTGGTTGAGCATCATGCCATGTATGGAGAGGTCATGGGTTCAATTCCCTGTCAGGGCCCATACCCAGGTTTCGGGCTCTATTCCTAGTAAAGTGGGGCATGCGGGAGGCAGCCGATGGCTGTTTCTCTCTCCCTCTTACTCTCTCTCTAAAAGTCAATAAAAACTTATTTTAAAAATAAATAATAGTAAAAAATGTTTAAAGAAAAGTTTCTGACCTGGTGGGGTAACTCAGTCGGTTAGACTGTCGTCCCAATATGCCAAGGTTGCAGGTTCAATCCTGGGTCAGGGCACATACAAGAATCAACCAATGAATGCATAAATAAGTGGAACAATGAACCAATCTTTCTTTCTTTCTTTCTCTCTCCCTCTTACTCTCTAAAATCAATAATATCAATATATATTTTTTTAAGTTTCTTTCTAGAGACCCCAGGAACAGCTACAAGGCCTCAAAAGACCAAGGATGAAACCACCAGGTTATACTGCGTTTGGCATTTCTGAAAAGAAGAGGAAAAGGGTACAAGGTAGAGGTATAGTAGGACTGGTAGAGGTGTAGGATGGACAATGTACTTAGTATTGCCCAGTCAGGTATTCCCTCTGTCAGGGTTTGTTGAAGTAAACAAACCACTTTATTTTAAGCAGAAAATGCCTTAATATGGAGACATAGATCCTTAAAAAAAATCCTTTGAAGGGCTGGAGGAGCAGGTTCTCTGCTGTATCTCAGAAATGACTCCGAGAATGACTACTAAACTCTTACCACGAAAGCTTGAGAAAGGGGAGGAAGGAAGACTGTGTTGCTGAAACTGTTGAGTTTAAGAACACAGTGCCCTAGCCCCGGCCGGTGTGGCTTAGTTGGTTGGAGCATTGTCCCCTACACCAAAAGGTTGTGGGTTCAATCCCCGGTCAGGGCACATACCTAGGTTGTGGGTTTGACCCCTGGTTGGGGTGTGCATGGAAGGCAGCTGGTATACATTTCTCTCTCATATCAATGTCTCTTTCCCTCCCCTCCCCCTAATAGCAATAAACATATCTTTAGCCCAGCTGGTGTAGCTCAATGTTTTAGCATGACCCATGCACCAAGAGGTTGCTGGTTTGATTCCCAGTCAGGGAACACGCCTGGGTTTTGGGCTCTGTTTCCAGTAGGGGGTGTGCAGGAGGCAGCTGATCATGTTTCTTTTTTTTTAAATATATTTTTCTTTTATTTTTTTATTGATTTCAGAGAGGAAGGGAGAGAGAGAAAGATAGAAACATTAATGATGAGAGAAAGTCATTGATCAGCTGCCTCCTTCACGACCCCTACTGGGGATCAAACCCGCAACCCAGGCATGTGCCCTGACCTGGAATCCAACCGTGACCACTTGGTCAGCCACTGAGCCACGTGAGCTGGGCCGATCCATGTTTCTACCTCTCTTCTCGCTCTCCCTTCTTGTCGCTCTAAAAATCAATAAAAACATATTTGAAAAAAATAAAACAGCCCTGTGAAGAAAATTCAGCTGGCACTCAAGCTGTCTCAGAAGTACTAGCAAACAACCTTAGCAACTTGACTCTGAACCCTAGTCCCAAATTCCGTTCCCTTCCACCAAAACCTTCACCCCAACTGCAGGATGAGGAAAAAAAGTCACAGGGGCTTGGACTGGGGCTGGGTCAAGGCCTGCTCTACAGGAGGCGACATGGAGTGAAGACAGTGGCATCTGTCTGGAAAGAGAGGCTGCTAAGGACCTTACAACTTGTTAGATACTGCACCCAGTCTCTGCTTAAAAAAGGCCCAGAGGAGAGGAAATGTGAGTTTGAAGAAAGAGCCAGAAGATTTAGAATTAGCTGTCATTATGGCCTATTTCATGGAGATCTTGCTGATATCCTAGAGAATTATGGCATGGAGTTGATTTAGCTGTAAACATTATTGTACTTTTTTTTTCTTGCTAGTAATTTTAAGGTCATTATGCACCAGCATAGATAACTTCAGGAAAATTTGAGCTGTAACAAATTTTTTGATGCAATATTTCAATTTTTAGTAGAAAATGTGTGTATGAGCATCTTAATAAAATTTGAGGCATTTGAGACCTTTACAAAAACAAAACAAAACCAAAAGCACACACCACACACACAAAACATAGTGACCTAGTTGTGATCCAGGAATCAGGAAGCTGCTGTTGCTAATGCTGCCTCCACAGCCTTCAGTGGCCATCTGAAGGGATGCTGGAACACTGTTGCAGAAAAACTCAGCATCCCATGATCACGCTGGCCAGCAACAGCCAAAGCCTCCAGGAGATGGCCCCTGCCTCACTTCTACTTTTCAAGTCCCTTCAGTGTGCAAATTACTGATAAATCAAAATTTACAACTAGAATACTAGCTGCAAGGAAATCTGAAAAATACAGTTTTGGGGATTCCAGTCTTTGCAGTATAGGAAGGTATATAAAAAGGAGATAGAATGTTTGTTGGCCATATCCATCACAAGTGTTTCTGTATCTAGATTTTTTTTAATTTCCATGGTAATAAGTAGGAAAAAAGGATTCTAAGCCAGAAGCAACACAAGAATGAAGCAAAAGTCTGTTTCAGACATTTTCATTTTATAAACCAATAGGGGCATAAGAGGGAACAGAGAACTTTTTATATTGTCACATTAAGGACATTACCAGCTACTGTCTACCATAACCATCATTTCATAAAAGAATTAACATTTGTAACACCTAAAAAGGTGGGAAGGTTATACTCTCAGAATTTAAAAACTGGCTGGTGTGGCTCCATGGTTAGAGAGTCTGCCCATGCACCGAAGGGTCTTGGGTTCGATTCCCAGCCAAGGGCA